CGCTCGCGCCGCGCTCCTTTGCGGAGTCCTTCCGGTTTCGGCCGCGTCGCGGGACCCGCGGGCCGGGCAGCGCCGGTCCCTGGCTGCGCCACAGCTGGAGCCAGGGGAGGGACGCGAGATCCGCGCCGCCCGCCTGTGATCCGCCTCAATCGGGCGGCTCGGCTCGGTGAGCCTGAAACAGCCGGGCCCCTCCGGGCCGCTCCGCGCAGGCGGGAGAGCGATCGCGCTGCGTGACCCGCGCGCGCTGGCCGCACAGCTCACACCAGCCAGGTCTGGGAATTGGCCCGTCTGTCCATCAACAGAATAATCCCAGCACTCGGGAGGCTGAGGCAGGAGGATTCTTGCGAGTTCGAGACCAGCCTGGGCTGCACCGCGAGACCCTGTCTCAAAAATACAAAAAAAGAAAAAAGGAAGAAAAAGAATGGATAAAGAAAATGTGTTTACACACGGCAGAGTACTACTCTGCCATAAGAAGTGTAAACTTCAGTCATGTGTAGGAAAATGGACGCACCTGGAGACCGTGATGTTAGGTGGAATAAATCAGACACATGAGTTTCAGTATCGCATGGCTTCTCTTATAGGAGAAACTCGAGGTAATACGAGCGAAATAAAGGCAGATAATAGGAGACAGAAACACCAGCGTCTCTTGAGAAAAGGGAAGAGGACGAGTCCTGGAGGGAAGGAAGGGCGAGGCGCCGTGTAGTAAGTGACGGTGTTAAGCAGAGCTTTTGTTCTCTTCCACACACAGCTGCACAGACGCAGCAGAACAGCTCCGAGGAGGACGCGAGGCGCTCGCGCCGCCTGGTTACTGCCGTGCTGCGCCCCACTTTCTTCGCCACAGGGTCTCACGGGGCCAGGCTGGAGGTGCAGGTAGTCCTCGGGGCGCCCGCGACGCGGCCTGCACAGCTCCGCGGGAACCCGGCCGTCCTCCGTCTCTGCCCCGCGCACCCGGAACACCCTAATTCCCGGGGGTTTGCTTTGGCTCTCCGTTTAGGTCCTGGTCGCGGCCCCAGGCGGAAACCGCAGGGCAGAGGGGTCTGGCGGAGGAGAGCTGCTCACCCCGCGGGGGAAAGGAAGCAGGGAAGGGAGGAGCCGGGACAGGAACGCAGCCCTGGGGGTCACTCCGGTGACCACCGCCAGCCAGGGCCGCCTCCTGCAGCGGGCCGCAGTGAACGCACCCCGGATGACTCCGCTGACGGGCACTGTGACCCGTCTCACTCCAGCTCAGGAGCCGCGGGCACGCTGTCGGGCTTTGCAGTCGGCCGTGGCCTCTGCCAGGCTTACCGTGCCGGCTCGGCCGGTCCTCTCCCAGGTGCAACTTGCTGCTTCCTCACCCGTGAGGTGAGCCTTGGTCGGACAGAATTCCGCCCACGTGTGGGAAGGGGAGCCCCTCAGGGACGCTTGGAAGGTGTAGGTCACACCCGGTAGCCAGGCTGGCCTCAAACTCTTGGTGATCCTCCTGTTTCAGCCTCT